CTACGTCGGAAGCATTTTAGGATCAGCATACCACTGTTTTAAAAGGAGTAAATTTTGATTCCGCTGACGAGTGGGTCGTTTGTGATCAAAATACAACGCCGTGTCATTTGACCCGAGCGGGCCCTCGAAGTCATTGTTTTATTTTTAATCACGACTAGTAATAGATATTCTCATAAACTATTAAATTTAATATTATATTTAAATATTATTGTGTATTTAGGGCAATTTCTTTCACGTCATTAATCGTAAATGTGACATCTTAAAAGTAGAGAAATCGAGCTGGAGACATTTCTCATTAAGAAATAAATATTATATAAAATTTTTATTTTAACAAATTTTATAAAATTTTATGAATTTTTTAAAAAGGAATGAAAGAATGTAATTACAATAAACCTGAATTCCGAAATAAAGAACGAAATATGTTCTAGATAGTTCCGCCATCTTCCGATTAAAATTGTAACTACTAATTTTGAAATATTGTTGAAAATAATTTTTAAGTTTATTTATATTAATTGATATTGCAGAGTATATTTATAAAATTTAAATAAAAATAATTTAAAAATTTTAAAGATATAATTACAATAAAATATGATTTTATAACAAGTTTACCTCATTCTATAACAGAACCACGATTACTAAAATAGAAATTTGGAGAACTCTCTTCCACAAACGCTCTAGAGCAGTGTTTCTCAACCTCTAACGAATCGTCACCCCCTTCAACGTAGTATCGTCCCCTTCAATAAAACCGTTACGTAGTATCGCCCCCTTCACTTCAAAATTCCGATGCCCAGGGCCAAGGCTAACGCCAAATTCGTACTGCATCGAATAGATTAGTGACTAGTATAATGTTATTTGTTTAATTTTTGTACGATATAACGAATAAAATATCTAATTATTCTTAATATAATGTTTTACTATATCGCCCAGAAAATTGTTTTTCGCCCCATAAAATATAAATTGTTACTAATCGCCCCCTCAACATGGAAAAACGCCCACGTGGGGGCGATATCGCCCCCGTTGAGAAACACTGCTCTAGAGATAAGCTCTGCCACCAGGGCGGCGTATCAGCGACTCGGGCCTAGAAAGCCTATAATGAGTGGTGGTGCGAATAGCTGCCGCCATTTCTTTTCCAAACTAATTATTTAGCCGCAGTTACGTACTACACTTGGAGAAACAAACATAATCTACAACTTATTTAAATGGAAATTCGGACAGAAGAAAACAAATGCCGTTTTCGATTTTTACAATTAATTTTTACTATTATTATTTGTCAAGGAAATTCCACATAGTATATTAAACAAATTTAATATACTATGTGGAGTTTGTTTATGATGAACATTTATCGGACGCGACGAGTAATTAGCCAATTTTTTTTTTTAATATCCTGAATGTTAATTACTTTTGAATACCGTCTTTTCGCGGAATGAGCGGCATTCCGCATAAAAACGGGAGACCAGCGTGCCAGGAACCCCGGGGTTTTCGGTATGCCGCTCATTTCGCGAAAAGTAATTAAGTTTGAATACAATTTTTAATTTCATGGAAATAATGTTGATTGATAGTAATAATCAATACAACATAATTTCGATAATTGCTTTAACTGGTTTGATCAAATGATTGTTATTTTAATCATCATACGTGATCAAGACTAGGATAATGAATTACGTAACAAATAATTTTATTCAATTTTTCTCTCAAACAGATATTTAAGTATGAAAATATTTATTTATTAATTTAAAGAAATTTAAAATATTTTATTATTATTCTGGTGTTTTCCCGTGGGAGAAAGAAAAAATTCTTAAAAAGCGAAAAATTAAGAGGAAACTAAAATCTTTACGATGGCAGCCATATTCGAACTCTCCAACACCTGGCTCTCCGACTATGGATGCTTTGTTACAAACAGATTCCACTGTATATTTCAGTTATACTCATTTTAATATGATTTAATTACATAAGCAAACTTAAGCAAAAATAGTTTACGTCAAAATCCACGAATTTAGATTGGAGCAATCCCACTGACTTTAAGACTTGTTTGATTCAGGGAAACAATCTTATTTTGTATTGATTCTGTTATCAATTGAAATCACAATTCCATAAATATATTTTTAATTCTATAATATGTCTACGGCAGACGACTATCAAATCAAAAAAGTATGATATTTGGCTCTTTGTTTAGCATTTGAATTGACTATCGAGTCAATTATACTCTTTATAAAGATCAATAAAAATTATATATGGTATGAGTCTGTAGATTTCTTATATGTACACATCATCTGTCCTCACACGAGTAGACCTCTAGTAATTTGAGGCAACGCATTGCGTTCTGTTGGTGCCATCTAATGCTTTACATTGGCTTCAGAATTATCGATTGTTTAGTGTAATTATCGACGATAGATCAACAGTTACGTCTGGTTATAGTCAGGTTTGCTTTAAATTTTCCTCTTCTGTAGAAACTAAGAGAAGATCGGCCACGTCCACAATGCGAGCAGTGGTATTTTACAACAAACGCTTGATTGAAATGTGCAAGAGAAACGAATGCGATTGGTTCAACAAATATTAAAAAGAATCTAGCAAGGAGTTGCTCAACTTTACCTGCAGTTATGAGAATTTATTTTAAAAATAACTTTTATATTATTAATCATACTATTAATAAATAAAATTGTGTAAGACCCTATCTTTATGAGATTTCGTTATAAAATTTTTCATACTACTAAATATTATAAAATGGCAAAGGTTAATTTTGAAAGTAGAGACAGGTTTTATTAAAAAAAAATTGTAAATGTTATTAATGGGTAAAATCTTAATTAAGTCCAACCCCTCTCGAAATATGACAGATCTGGAAAAGCAACGACAGAGGAAAGGCAAAATCTGGAAGAGAAGAGAAATCATTCCGAGAACCAACTCGGTATTCTTGAGACTTACATTCTCAGTGGCATCCTATGTGGATGTGAGACGTGAGCCATGAACAGGATCTTTCATCAAAAAAATCTTAGCCTTCGAAAGGAACTGCTATAGAAAACTATTGCGAATAAATTGATTAGATATGGTCAAAAACGAGGAAATATATCGAAAATTCCAACCTAAAGAAACCACCCTTCAGACGGTAATCAGAAGGAAGCTGTAACTATTTGGGAACATTTGCAAAATGATCCCAGAAACAGAATTAAAGGCCCTAGTATTCAGAATGATAGATGGTACAAACAGGACTGGCAGACCTCACAAAAGATGGATTGATGACATCTGAGACTGGAAGAGACCTCCGAGATCTCTACCATGCCGCACAGGATCGGACAACATAAAGGGAGTTGACAAGGAATGCAACAGATTCTAACGGGCACTGGTCACAAGAGAATTTATTGATTGATTAATTGTAGGTGTGAAAAGGACGTCGGGAAATGAAAAATGTCGAGACCCCCTTGTTTTCTTCTGTTAACTTCTTGTAAAATAAATTTGTTTTCTTTTTTTGTAAATTTTAAATGTAATTATCGTCCTTGCGATTTACCAGTTTTTAGTAGTTTTATTAACCAAGAACAGAGTACCCTTAAATTGCATTTACAATCAGTATGGCAGAGTCGCTCAATAATTAGTCCGACTCCGACTCCAACCTTTCTCTTTTTTAAAAAGCCAGAATATGATTTCATTTATAAGAAAGATACCACTTGGGCTCTAAATACTTTTATCTGAAATTTTTCTATAAAAAGTTGTACTAAAATTAATGGCGAGAATAAAAAAGAAGGATATAACGAATTTACTTCGGAAAAGCTTTCGAATACTTCATTCTACATTTTAATAGTCAGAAGAATTTCACTTATATTAGTTAATTAACAAAAATTAATTTAAATTTAATCATTCGAAGGAAAAAATTAAATATAATAAATGCAAAACAAGGATTTGATAAATAACGTAATAACGTAATAAGGTACTGTACTTTTGTAGCATTATAGTCGTGGTCCGATCGCACGTCAGTAATCATTTTCATACGCATTTGCGGCAGTCGGACAATTCCATTTGAGCGCGTAACTTATTGTCAATGAAATATGGCCTAATCTGCACTGCGTATGAATTTTATCGGTGTACAATGCAAACAAATGACAAATGGATAAGTGGCACATTACGGTTACACGTAGCCTCATTTCTTGGGGGTAAACGTCACAAATATTCATGCATTCGCTTCGTGAGTATTCGTGAGGTTTACCCTCACAAAATGATTTTCGTTTCGGTATATTCATGAATTTGATGCGTGAATATAGAGAAACGGAAATCAATTTATTCTATTTTAAATACATAAAAATAAAAAGAGATAAATTACATACTTTTTCGAGAAGGTCTTAATAAAAATTTTGCCAAAGAAAGTATCAAAATCGAGCGAAGAAAAGCGCTTTATCATGAAAAATAATTTAAACAATAAGAAAAAAAAACAATTAGAAAGTATTGTTACTTTAATATGACGTTAGTACAAATGACGTCAAAAGTTTAATTAAATTAACCGTAAAAATGTTTTAAAACATTATAGTTTCAAAATTCCGGCTGTCTAAGAAACCAAATATGTAAACAATTGTATAGAAGTATGTTAATTCGACATCCTCGATACAGAATACACAGCAATGGGCGCATCAAATAGTAAAGCGGCTTTAAAAAAGCTGGACAAGCGAGCCAATGGTGTAATCCATTTCATGTGAAACGAGCTTTCATTGATTGGCTTATCCAACTGTATTAAAACCGTTTTACCAGGCGACACGTCTAATATTTATAAGGCGTATAACGTATCTAATTTCGCGAAAATATAAACACTACCGGAATGCTGCCAGATTAACGAACTTGTACTGTATATATTTAATACTTTTCAACTTAAAAAAGTCAAATATTTATTTTAATGATTAGTATTTTCTACGAATTCAAAACTACAATAATACTAAAATTTATATATGTTTTCAAGGTGTCAGAACTTGCAAGTCACAGACAAAGTAGTCGTAAAGTAGCCTTCGTCAAACAGGTTTCAACACTCCTTTTTACCAGAGTAAATGAAAAAGGTATCGTAGCTTAATGTAGACACAAAATGAAATAAATTTGGTTTTAAATATCAGTCGTATATAAATTAAATATACGTCAGATTAATTAATAATATTCTTCCAATTATAAACAAAGATTTTTAAATAATATAATGAAAATCAAGACAATTCTTTTTGTAACGTTCATCCTTATCAGTAAGTAATTTTATCTGATTCTTTATTGTATTTACTACAATTATTTAATTATTTGGGGTTTAAAGTAATAAATAGATATTAATTTATACAGGGGGGTGCAAAAGTAGGTATATAGTTCATAGTCTGAGAAATACAAATGTTTTGTGTTCATTTATTATTATTTTTATTATCTTTTATTAGTTCGTATTCCTTATTTATGATTTAATTCGTACATATAAATAAATGTTTTTTCTTTCTATTATGAATTTTTCTTATCAAGTAATTGTATATCCAGTCTGGAAGTTCAATGTTATTACGAAACAATTACGATACAACTAGACAATATTTACTTTCTTCTCTGCTGATTTGTATTCTATAGAATATGTTTATCACACTTCCAACATTTTTTCTGCCTCGCCAGCCTCTTGTTTTTACTTGAAGAAATAAAAGAAAATATACTTTTATGTATTTCATATTCATTTCTAAAATTAATTTATATTATTAATTAATTAACAGGTTAGTTACTAACTTGTAAACTTAGCTTCTAACGTAGGAGACAGGATGACATCTAACTTTAATGTTTTAGTGAAAGTTTACAATAAAATTAAAGTCGAAATCGTAAAATCTTCTTTAAACAGCGTCAATTGGACATTTATATATGTTTATGAGTCGTTGAAGTGTATTATATCATACAAAATTAGCATATAATTTAAATATTGTCGCGCTAAACAGTCGCGATGCGTCGCGCGTTAACCTTCGCGACTCATCGCGACCGTTCTATTGCTGTTCGTATTAATTTTTTTTTTTATTAAAATAAATATTTAAGTATTCTAAATTATTTAATAGAAGTAGAAGAAATGTTTGATTCTCAGTACTTGTGTGGTTTAAGTCACTCGCAACGCGTCATTTTCGCTCGATCCAGCGCATATCGCTGGATAGAAGTACCTTAAATATTAAAATAAAATTTATTTATTTATATATTTTTATCTTTACAGCAGTAAATATTTCCTGTACACCTGATATTCTTGATAGAAGATGCTTAAATTGTTTTTGCCAGGTAAAAATATGTGAATTAAGTGAATATCGACACGCCTATTTGCGCGCCACGCTTCAAAGATTTTTGATACTCGCATATAATAATTTTCGAATTATTTTAAGATTTTAATTACATATTTTAGGCCCAGACTGAATGTGATAGGTCATTTCAATGTTTAAACGAAAGTATTATTTTGTGTGGACCGTATTTATTAGGTTATTCGTTTTGGGTAGATGGACATAAACCCGGACGGGACGATTCCAAGAAGGATTTTGGTAAATTTGCAATTTGAAAAATATTAAATTAATTTATAATTATATTTACTAAAAATTTATAATCGTAATTTTAAATTAATTGGCGCGATTAGATAAGCGAACGGTGTATTTGTTCGCGCCGAAGTATATTTGAAAATTGTACAACTGGAAATGCCAACACTTTCAAAAGAATGATACATAATTAATCCATATTTTATTTTTTATAGATAATTTTAAACGATGTTCAAAGATTAAAGCGTGTGCGGAAGAAAGCATACAAAATTACATGAAGGAATATAGCAAAGATTGCAATGATAACAATATAGTCGATTGCGCCGATTACTTTCTAATTATATTGGGAGGACCAAACTCTTGCGATGATAAGAAGTTTCAGGAAAGATTTGAATGGTTGAGATTTTTAGAATGTTATCTTAATACAGCTACGGACGTTGAAGAAGCATTGATTAGCGCGGGCTTAAAAAAATTCAGATTTTAATGAATAGTTGTGAAAACACATCTTTAAATATTCAAGATGCTGGAAGGACAATAGTAATCATTTACAATTTACAATCGAGGGAATATGTTTCAGTATAATGAAATATTATTGATAAAACCTGAATATTGTTTTCAAATTTTACATATTATAATTGAGTTTATTGAGAATAAATCGAAATATTTTCACATTTCTTTCTAATAATTTAAATATAAATGAATATTCTAATGTTTAATGTTTTGATAATTATACAAACGAACTCTAGAGGACTAAAGAGCCTTGTTCGCCCTTTACTGGTCACGCGAGTGTAAATAAATTACTTGTAACAATTTCTGACTGTTTTCGTTTTAACCACCCCTCGGATTAAAAATCCGTCTTCGTCATTGAATGAAATTTTTTTAATAGCTCTAAATTTATATTTTCGAGAAGAAAACCTAAAATGATGATAATGAACACTATAACAACTTAGAGATCATAAGTCGAGCTCTAAACAATTCCGCGGAAACACTGTCCATTTAGAAAATTATTATTAGTTTAAGAAAATTCTGTATTGGAAAAATTTAAATAGGAATAGCTTCATTTACTTTCTTAATTTCTTACTTTAATTTTTTTTTTACGATTAAAATTAAAATTTATCATTTCTACGCTATTTTAAAACGAGGAATCGAACCGCAGCGTATTAAATTAAATTTGAAATTTTATAAAATATAATAGTTAATAGTTACTGATGGCTATTTGCTAAATTGTCGTCGGGATTGCAAGATCCTTCCGACGTCAGAACCTGACAACAGTTAGGATAGTTAAAGGTCGTGTCCTAACTCGCGAATCGTAAACGAATATTGAGTAGGAGGGTTGATTCGACTGTCGAGTCGGGGAGTGCAATGGGTAAGTCAATAGGGGTCTAAAATCCGAAAAATGGAGTCGACACAAGGTTTAAACAAGCTAACATATTTAATATAAACGACATAAACCTAGATTACGAGATAACTACGAAACATAACTATATACTAAACGTAAGAACGGCGCTCGGGAGGTTCGGGGGAAATCCTTCCCGTTCTATGATATCTACGTTTAAGAAGAGAGAGCTTTCAAATATTCTGACAAACTACGGAATGCCTCGCCGAGAGAGAAGTTGTCCTAAATTGCCGAGGCGTAGGGTTTTCCGCCTAGAGCAGGGGTGTCCAACCTTTTTGTTTCTCTGGACCGCATTGGAAGAAGTCAAAGAGTTTTGGGCCACAAGCAGTGGTGATATTCAGCGGGTTCGCACAGGTTCGGCCGAACCCGTTGATAACATTTTCAGTTTTCCAAACCTTGTTAAACATATATAACATTTCTCAGTGGTTTTGTTTCTTTTAAAAAATATATTAAAATATACGTATTATACTCTGTAACACTACTAAACTAGAGCCTTCCGATGCACCATTTGAGCGAAAAAAATTGTTAAGGAAAAATTTTCTGTTAGCGAACCCTTTGTTAAATGTTTCGAGTATAACCACTGGCCACAAGTATATATAATATATACTTGTGGCCCAATATACAAGTATATTTAAGGATTAACATGTCTAGATTATAATAATAAGTATTAAAACTTTATCACGAAAGAGAATATTTTAAAAAATTACTTCTACAGACACTTTCAATTTTTACTTAGAAATAGATAAATTCATTTATTTGAAAAAACGCAAATATTTCAGTCTCTGATTAATAAAAAGCGACGAAACACCATTTTAAAGTGCATTTTTATTCGACTAATATATTTATAAATGATATGTAGCCCAAAAAGTAGCCAAAGCGCCAAATGATATTTTTTACATCAAACTAAAAAAAGTAGCCACATTTGGCGCAATGTAGCCAAATCTTGCAACGCTGGAAGGAATACTAAATAAAGCTGGAGTTGTGACTCAAAGGATTATAGAGCCAAATGCGGAAAAAGAAGAGAAAAGATAAAGAAGTGAGAAAGGTTGGAAAATTAAGACTCAATATTTGCCTAACAGAAGAACTATTTAACCTTTCTGACAACTTTTTATCTTTTGTCCTTTCTCTCCTTTCACCAAATTTGGATCTATAATCCTTTGAGTCACAACTCCAGCTTTATTTAGTAATCCTTCTTCATTCACACATCTCCAAGTACATGAAAATATTTCATTTCCACTCAAAACTGAAATATAAATAAAGGTTTATGGCTTTGTGAAATTTCTTTTCTGAGTTTATGCCGTTGAAATAAATAAATAATAAAAAATTAAAACATATGTCGGTTTTGTTTACACCTTTATTGGGCCGCATGCGGCCCGCGGGCCGCGGGTTGGACACCCCTGGCCTAGAGAATGGCGACTCTAGCCATCAGAGGATAATGGCAAGCAGGGGCGTGCCGTGACATTCGATGATTTGGAAGCTGCGTTTTTGTAACAAGCCGACTTCCAGGGGCAATCAGTCAGTGATGGTCTAGGCCTCTAGAGTCCATTCGTATTCGTTTGTTCGATAAGCCAGTAAAAACCGTAGACTTCTTTAAATGTATTTTTAATTAATAGATTATCTAACGCACTTAATAAATAAGCGAGTTCAATATAATTACCTCTGTTATATTAGATTTAATAGATTCTCTACGCCCTCTAAATGCCAATTCTCGCTTCGATAACATCTACTAATTAAAATATAATATATCTATTAGCCGTAACTATCTCGTTATAATTTTCAATATATATTTTATATCGTGTACTAATGTTAAATTCTATTCTATTTTGATTTCCAAATTGCTTCAATTTTACGAAAGATTCGATGCGAGATTTACGATTTTCGTGTCTTTTGCCAGCTTTACTCAAATTATTTAAATCGTCAAAGCCAATCTCATTCCACACACTAATTTTATTTGAAAATAGTAGGCGAGGCCAACAAAACAATTTTTGCACTTTTATGCATCCACAAAGCCATTTTATGTTTTGATAAATTTTATCGCGAAAATGTCGAACAAATTTTTTTGTCGACGTATTTATATTTAATTTAAGCATTGGTCTTTCTCTTTTAATAATGTTTTCTTTTTCATTATAAGGTCTCGAGCCAAAACTTTTTGAACTAAATTTTCAATATCGCAATTACATTCTAAATTGCTAGCCATAATATAAGGGCTAAAATTAAAAATAAAATTATAAAAACTTATTTGGTGAAATAAAATGTGTGATGGATATACAATTATACATACCTGGTACAAAATATTCGATTGTATGAATATAGTTTTGTGAAGAAACGTACATAAAAATAGCATAAGATATTCTTTACTTTTTAAATATTAAAACAATCCACTTAGTTAAAAGTGCTCCCTATCAGTGGCTCGTGGATGGAATCAGAGACGATCTTGGTAGGTGTGCGGTGCGTGCATGCGTGCCAAATCCCGAGGGTGCCGATACCGGTTAACGTCTTTTGTCGTATCACTAGTATATCTCAAAGGACGCGAAGGGGTTGTTGTAAATTTTAAACGTTTCTCATCATAGCTGTAAAAATCTAAATACGTTAAACTTAATAGATTGTCCGTCTTTTGTTTTCTAACTAATTCGTTTTAGGACCAGGTGTTGTCCACGGAAATTTCCAAAATTTACAACTTTTCGGTCACTCTCGTCGAACTGGAAAAATGTCTGTCTTTATTACATCTAATACAGTATTTCGAAGAAATCAATCCCCATTGTACTCGGCTATAGATTGGTTCGGTTAAGCTTTTGTTTAAGTAATATTCCAGCTTTTTCGTCAGGGTTTTGTTTACGTCCCCAATTCCCTAATCGCTTAATTATTTAACTACTTCTTAAGTAGAAATAAGTCGAAACCGGTTACTTTGTACTCGAATATTTGTAGTCTCGGGAAAAAGTGGAAAGACAAATTTTTATGACAAACGGATACATAAATCGTAAATTAAAAAAAAATAAATTCTAGAGCCTTTTCTGTACCTGGTGCATCTCTCTCATTCATTAAATTTAGCTGTAAATGACGCCGTCGAAGTAACGGTTAATTTTTTAACATTATACAAGAATTGTACACGTTTTTTTCTACATCCGCTTAGAGATGGGACGTACGAAATCGTAATATCACCGGTGTAACATTGAAATCTGTGAGTAATATAAAATCGGAGAGCGGAATAAAAATATCAAATATTTTAATGGATTTTTGAAAACTCCCGTCAACTATACGGAAATATCGTAAAAACGTACCACTAAATCCTTATCGGTTGGGTTAAGTTATAAATTTACTCATTATTCACGTAATCGGCCAAATATCTAGCGGGCGGGCGGCTAACGGCCCGGAACCGGTCCCGAATAGAATTGGAAGCGTTGGAATGTGTAGCATCGACCGAGGTCGTAGGCTTCCACCGGCTAAACCGGGTGAGGTCGGTGCTCCGTAAAGCGCGTGCGCAAATCTGGCTTTTGGAATCTGACAATACAGAGATTCCATTCCGTCACTAATATTCGAATATACAATAGCGATCTTATTTTTTTTTTCACGTTTAGTATAGAAATTTGTAATAAGATACGTAATGCGATTATAATAAAATATTGTGCGATTATTTTCATATAATTAAAATTAATATGTATTTATTTTTTTATAAAATAAAGGGAAGCGGCGCTTCCTCCGCTTCTAATGACGGCACGCCACTGATGGCAAGGCTGGATTTTTGAAGAAAAGCCGCTCTGGAACATGGAGAGACTGGAGACTTGGTTGGAGTCTGCTGGTGTCCGCCGGAATATGGCGAGTCGAGAGACTGGGTGCTATAATTAGAATCTGCCGGTGTTCGTGTTGCAACTCGAGTTGAAACCCCTTTTATCCTCCTTAGGCCTGAGAAAATGATCAGGTGATCGGCTGTTTGGAGACGAAGTTCCAGTGTGATATCATAGGTGAGCCGTTGATGACGCTAAGATGTCGTTTAATTAATCGGAGCTGATAGTATAATATTTGGCTCGAGACTCGTGTTAGATTCATCCGTTTACTCATTCGAAGGTTAACTTTCCTCTTTTAAGATGGGAACTACCATATCCTCCATATTGGCCGGATATCGCCCCTACTGACTATCATTTATTCGGGTCTTTAGAATACAGCGCAAGAAATAAAACCTTCCGTTCGCAAGATGATGTATTGATACAAAGAAGTTTAATATCAATTTTTGCCTCCAAAAAACTTTTTTCAATAAAGGATTTCTAAACTTAGTAAATCGTTAAAATAAAGTTATAATTAATGGTGGTGATTATATAATTGAATAATGTTAATGCTAATAACTACTTACCTATCTTTAAAAAAGTTTAATAACACCTAAAAACATTTAA